TATTCTAGTGGTGAAGTTCCATTCTCAAGTTCAATTATGTGACTTCAGGTAAATCTTTACAGTCTTCCTCTAACCCGCTACCACATTTATAATAACGAAGTCATAATAATGCTGCTTGCTACCTGCATTTCAGGAAGCTTAAGATGATCTGTTGAAATAAGGTTGAACAACCTAAAAACTTTCCAAAGTTATAATAATGTCATATTTTTTCTTCTGGTTCAATGTGGTACTTCTAAGCACTTTAAAATTGTGGTAAACCAAGACAAACTAAGTGAATTCCTGAGAGTTATGCATTAATCACCACCCTTTGGGGGAGAGAAGTAATATTTTTAAAAGCGCAGTAGAGGACTTGCTTGTTTATAACCAGCTTTGTGGAGAATCTAATCCTTTCATTGTTAATTGAGAACATATATGTTGAATTTGAGGCTTAGAATTATATTAAAATATACTTCATTTTCAAGGACCACAAAATGACTATATTTAATGTGGAAGAAATTGCTTTATGAGCTATTAACAAAAGCTCTTACACTCGTTGCATGTTACGGGTTGGCAGCCCTCACATTGTGGGAGCGCTGTAGCTTTGGGACCAGAGTTTTCTACATTGCTCCAGTCTTCATAGAGAAAGCTGATGCCTGGCCAAAATAAATATGGGATAAAGTGGGCTCAGCACTCTCATTAACTCTGGTGTTTTCCTTTAATGGGACTTGAGAATGGAGCTTTTCCACTAGAATTTCCTGTTTCATTTTCCTTTCATCTCTATCTCCTTTATAGTCTATGTCTTTCATTTATATTTTGATGTTATTCTTCCATGAAGTTTAGTTTTTATATCTTCCATGAGGGCCATGGAATTGAGAGTGTGATTTTTTTAAAATCTCCAAGCAAATTATACACTTCGCATTTTCTTATCGTTTACTAAACTTATCACAAAGTTCTGAAACCTGGACCCCAGGACTGGTGAAAAGGCACATTTTTAAGCAGTATCAAAAATAAAACTTTTCTTTATGTATTCATAAAATTTCTCCTTAAAAAATAATTGGATTGTTTAACAGGTGGGGAGGAGATGAAGAGAAAAACTTTCTCTGAAATCTGTCTTCATACATTTTAATTAAGAAAAACATCTCTGCTCTACATTAACACAACTTCTAAATCTTACTCAGCTGGGTGCTTTTTCTCTTCCAACAGAAAGACTAAAAAGGTCCAATTGCTCTCGTGCTTTGACTTATAATCCGTATGCCTATGGTTGATCTCAGGAAAAGAAAAAACTAAAATAAAAAAGTAATGTGTTGATACTCATTTTCCCCTAGGAGCAAAGAATATTTATAGTTTTGTTTTTTTCTGGGATCTTTTGCTCTTTAAGTACCATATGATTCAAAGGCATTTTTCTTTTTCTTTTTTCTTTTCTTTTTTTTTAACCTAGCAGAGGGATTAATGGAACGTTATTAGGCTGCACAAATTAATAACAAACTTCATCAGATTCCTTAAGGAATCAGAGAACTCTGTGTACAAGCCCCTTTCACAGAACATTTCATCCTCTCTAAATCAAATGACATGGGCCTCACAGACAAATGCTGCTTGATGTCTTGGAAGCCTGGACAGCTTTCATGTTTCACCTGGGACTGGCTCTCTGAAACCAGGTCACTCTGAGAAGCCACAGGGTATCTTGTAAACAGTGAGCCCAGCCACTTGTGGCCTGATATAGAACAGAAGCACAATTAAAGGGAACTCCTGAGGAATTTCTTCTGCTCTGGAGGAGGCTGACTGGACATGTGACTTTCTGGAAAGAGAACAAAAAAGACGCTCCCTTCAGAAGACAACGGAAATATCTTCTTTGAAGGCCATTCTTCAGGTGTGGCCTGGCCTCACTGGCCTGCTGCTTGCTGCAGACACAGCCTGGCTGGGTGACTGATTTCACAGGGTGCAGCTGCTGCTCACAGTGCTTTCTCGGGGGCAGAAGGGAACCACTAAGAACTTTGGAAGCTGGTTAAAAACGCTACCTACTTTGAAATATTGTGAAGCTTCTCAGAGTCTAGTTTACATTTTTTAATACAAACCTTTCTCCCTCTCCACTCTACTATAAATTTAGCAACTCTTGAAGAATGCACAGAGAGAAAAAAGCAAGGCCATGTGCTTCCTTTCTCAGCAATGCACATGCTCTGTGTCAGCAAGAGCTTCAGGGCGTCTGCAGAAACTTCTGTGTGAATCTCAGGCTCAATCTGCTGACCCCTGATCCTGATGACTGTTCCTATTGGGGTACAGGGAAACTTTAACAGTGAAATGGTTACTTTGTTTTTCAAAAAAAAATTATGATAGATTCTAAGCATCACCTTATTTCTTAGAGTTATGCAATGAATTGACAGGGAAAGAAGAGGATGGGCTGTTTTGAATTTGGAATGCTTTTTCTCCCTCTTTTTGTTTCTCTCTTTCTTTCATCTTTCAACTGTAAGATGGTTTCACATCTGCATAATACAAAGTAAAAAGGACACAATCTGATTGACACAGAGTTTCTCTGATGAGGCAAACCAGACTTGATAACACAACCCGGAGAGGCACGAGGGAACAGCTGCTTAGGTGCTTCACTTTTTGAGTAACTCAAGACGGATATGAAAAATAAATTCTGTAAATATGTGTGTGAAAATTAAAAGAGCAGAATGTTTATTGCCTTTCTGAATTAAAAAAGGGGGGTGGGATAAAAAAAAAGTCCTGACTGGCGTGATGGCCAAGTTGAAGACAGGGATGGGCTGGTGCAGAGGGCAAGAACAGAGCAGGGTGGGGGGAGCAGTGTGCTCAAGGAAGCGGCTCTGGACAGACCACAGGCACCCCCAGACATGAGCTCGGTAGGGGGCTCACGCTGTATACCCACCATGGGAACCCAAGCATGCCATTTCACTCACACAGTGAATATTACTATGTGCTAACTATTTTTCTATGTTCCGTGCATACTACAGTGACTAAGACTAAAAAGAAAGAAGTGTTACTAAGTGAATTAAATTGACTATTGTGATAGAGAGTGATGGGAGAACTACTCTAAATGAGCTTGTCAGGGATGAACTCTCTGATGAGGGGGCATTGGAGCATAAGGAAAAGAAGGAGCCAACCAGGCCAAGTTAAAGATCAGCCAGATAGCAAGAACAGACTGTGCAAAGGCCCTGAGGTGGCAAAGGAACAGAAAGCAGTTCACCAATGGCCAGATGTTTGTGCAAGTGGGAAAGCACAGCAAAATGGAATGCAAGGAGAAAGTGAGATGAAGGGGTGTGTGTGTGTGTGTGTGTGTGTGTGTGTGTGTGTCCGGGTGGATGATGGTCCAGGAAAAGAGCTTAGTGAAAAGCTCTGTGCTTGGTTTTCTAATCCTTAGTCTCTTGAGCAATTGTCATATCCTATCACTTAGCAGAAGACAGTAGGAATATGATCATGACAAGACAATGACAAGGTCAACCTTGGCAATTCCAGAGTCACAACTCCCACTTTCTATAGGATTCTTGGAAACTCCCCAGAGACTTCATAGTGCCCCATGGTGGCCCCCTGCAGGTACACCCAGTCCCCATGGTGCTCCGGGTCCAGCAGGTGGCTGTTCCTCTCAACCTCACACTCATCCTCAGGGGTCTGAGTCCTCCTCACTTCTTCCTGTGTAGAGGGAGATGGGCCTGGTTCTTCCCTCCCAGCCTCTCCTTACTCCAGGAATTCTTACCTTCAATATAAACACAAGTGGAAAAGAGCAAAGATTGTGGGGAAACTTCCACGTGTCCTGCAATGTGCTCTTTAGATGTCCTTCAACAGATGACAGGGAAGCCCAGGGAGAGGGAACTGCTCCAAGTGCTGAGCCACTCCACCTCGGAGCTTGCATATGGACCCGCTAAGGCTCAGCACTCCCAGCCTGTGCTTTGCCTCTCCTCAAAGTAAGCCATGTCTCTTCTTTTCCTTACAGTGCCCCTGGAAACTACTAAGAAATGTTTTCAATTTCTTGTTTTCTTACTAAGCCTTTCAGAAATTGCCACTTCAGTAGATTCTTTTGGTTTTCTTCCTGCTTGATTTCTTTGCAGCATCTAATACTGAGAGCCAATTTATCTATTCACAAGACTCTCATCCTCATTTTAGAATAGCACTGGTCCTTATTCTCCTCTTGTCTCTGCTTTTCCATTTCTCAGTAACTTTGTGTTCTATCTCCTCTCCCTTCTCTCATCTTCTCTCGCTTAGTTTCCTCTCCTTTCTTCCTTTCTCTCCTCCCCCTTTTCTTCAGTCTCCCTAGTTCTCTCCACACCACCTCACTGAGTGATCCCATCAGTTTCCCAGTTTTGAGTCCCATTAGTTCACTCTATACACAAATGATTCCCACACCAGTTCTCTAATTCCCATCCTTTCAATTTTCAATGTTCAGAATTATAAAATTCCAGCTGCTTCTTGGATGTTCTATAAGCAGTCAAGCTAAATGGTTTTAAAACTAAAACCATTTTTTAAAATAAATCTTCTCCTTCTGTATTCATAAATTGTAACTGGCTTCATGCTTTACCCACCTACCAAATTCTTCTTATCTATCAAGACCTAGCCCAAGTGCCACTTCCTCATGAAGTGCTCTCTCAAACCTAAGCCACCCTTTTCTTTTTTCCCCTTACTCCTCTAGTTATATATGCACATATATTATATTATACTAATTTATTTGTATATTTGCCTCCACACTTAAGAAAAAATCTCTGTCTCATTCATTACTTTCTGCCAAAAAGGACAGAACACTGCATGAAGGTATTGCAAACAGTTACATTAATAAACCCTGGACATTTTAATTTTCTCAATATTAATTCGTACTTGTGCTTCCCAAGGGACAAATCCCCAAGGCTAGCACAAGAAGCTATTATAGATGGTTTAGAGACCTGCAGTCCTAAGTTTAAGAACTAAACAAAGTAATGTCTTAAATTACCTTTTGGTTTGTTGCTTTTAGTCCCTAAATTTTGCTTTAGTCCTCAGAATATTTCACTGGATTAATGTTATGAAACTTTTTTCTCTCATAGCCTCCCAATCTTTGAGCTGTGAGTTGTGCTTCAAACAGCTCCCAGCTCTGCTGTGTTGTCCGTCCCCACCAGGCCTTGGGGAAGCATGGCCAGCCACACCATGTGCAGCAGCAGAGACAAGTGGCCACCAAAGTGTCCAAAACAGCTGAGATCAAAACAAGCTGCAAATCAGCCCCAACATGCACTGCTTAGAATTTGATTATACAAAAAGGCTCACATGAGAAATAGAAACTTTATAACGGTGCCTTGCATGGTTTGATATTCTCATGGTTAAGGAACCCTTGAGAGCCTGGAAAAGCAAGCACAAATCTGCTCTGAGGACCACATTCTTTCAATCAAGACCACACCAGATCACAGGAGAAAATAAAATCTCTCACAAGAGCATCTCATAATCAAAATTTTATAACACACAAGAAAGTACTCATTAAAAATGAATCAGCAGGTGTAGCTAAATCCAAGAACCTGAAATAATGGAATAATATTGTCAAGTAAGTTATAGATTAAATAATTGTCAATTATTAAAAAGATGAAAGAATAAGATCCATATAGAAATATTTTAACAAGATATGTATTAGAATTCTTAGGGAAAATATAGTCATTAAAATTAAAAATTCATCATTGATTTGAATACCATATTAGACATAGGTAAAGAAAGAATTAGTGAACCAGAATGTATATCTGAAGAAGTCATCCGGAATCTAAAGATAAAGAGAGATAAAAGAAGATACCATACAAGTTGCACTGACAGACATGAGATGGAGTACAGAGCCCCAACACACTTCTGGGCTGATTTGCTAGTGGTATGTACACTTTTCATTCTGCTGTCATTACTCAAAGATCTCTGATTTGTTTGGGATGATAATATGCCCGGCTAGAGAAAAATATATCCCCCAGCCCCTCCTCCTGTCTAAGCAAAGGGGTAACCAAATGACCCAATGAAATAGAAGCAGATGTTTCCAAGTGAAGTTCCTGAGGGTGCTCCTTAAAAGCTTATCCTTTCTTCTGTCATTTGTTTTCTATGTGGACACTAGTAGTGTGCTAAAGGTGGAACGGTGATCTTGAAATACATAAGGAATAATGAAACAAAAAGCTAAAAGGCTTAAAGTCTGCTTACTTCTAGACATCTAGCCATATTGTAAGAGGGCAGCATGAGGTCCGGTTGTTTATTGCCATGTATACAATAACACAAATTTTTCAATGGAAGGGAACAGGTTTTTATTAACAGGGTTCCCATTTGGGGGATGGGTCTGTGAACATTCCTGCTCTGAACCTTTGCACAGAACCTTTCTTTCTCCCCAAAATACTGTGCACCAAATCCTTGCTCAGAAATTTCCCATTTTTGTTTATCTGTCCTTTTGGAGCTGAAGTTGGCCATGCAAACAGGTCTCTAACCTCTCTGGGGTATGCATCTGTGGGTTGCCATCATCTCGCAGCAGCTTTCTTTCAGAAGACCTGGGGTGCACTGCCAGATCACTCTGGTCAGTTGGGCAGGGGAAGCTCCATCCACAAGGAGCCTCTGTGTGCAACTCTCCAGGAGTGACAGTGGAAGCAGTTCAGGACCCATGTGCTGTCCTGCACTGGGCCATATTGTCTCAGAGGCTGGAGCTCGCTGAGGCATGCATTCCAGTGTGGGACCCTCCTTCTAGGTAGCTGGCTTTCAACCATGTGGGACCTAAACCCCAAGCAGTCCCAATGTCTGTGACTCCCACCAACAGCTTTGCAACTACAGCGGTCTCTGGCTGGAGCAATGCACATGCGGTGGGAGAACAGCTGTTTTGGTGGCTTCCAGGTGGTGGGCCATGGCACTGGAGCTACCACTGATGGGGATATTCACTGGAGGAGGCAACAGGTGACAGGCGGGTGGGTAGCTACTATGGCAGCTTTCCACAGCTTACCACTCAGGAGAGAGATAGAAGGCTTGTTCCCTGAACCAAGCTCCCCAAGCCCTCCAGCCCAAACCTTATTCTTTCCCCTTCTTACCAGACCCTACTGTACTCTAGGCAGGCCCTGGAGCACTCAGGGAGGACCTCGGGAGGGACTTCTTGACCACCAAGTCCCCAAGGCCCAGCGACCAGGAGCTCCAGGAACCAGCAGCCAGGAAACAGGAGAGAATCCAGGAGAGTGGTGTTTCCACACATTCCCCTTTTAAAGACTCCCTCAGTGCCTCCTGGGTGGCCAGCATGCATTGACCTGGTGGCCAGCATGCATCACCCTTGTTGTCAGGGTGACATACATTGGTTCAGAAACTATAGTATGGCTGCTACTCATGAACCATCCCAGGAGCCTTCTAACACCTCCACCATGTCCAGGATGAGGGAGTCCGTCACATTGCAACTTTTCTCTTGAACACTTTGGATATTTTGGATATTTGTAATTTTATATGGGCAAATAGATGATGGTCTCATTCTTCTGTAACTATTCCCTGCTGACCAAGAATGTAGTCCTACCTAACCCCTAGTCCAGAGGTCCCTAATGTAAGGAGGTCAGGAGTGGAGGGAGCTTTCACATGAGGGAAAGGGATCTTGCAAGGTCTAGGTCAGTTGGTTGTCCATAGAAAGCAGCATATGCAATGTCCAAAAGATGGCTTGCTGAACAAGTTGTGATCCTTGTTATATTTTTACCAACTCAACTGTTTAGTCCAGCCAAACTATTGAGTTCCAAGAGGAGGTGATGCATGTGGACTTCTCAAGTGGGGCCTACACTGTTTCTGAGTCTGCAAGACTGCCTTTTGAGAAGAGGCCCAGTTGGAAGGCCTTTGCTGATATGATACCAAACAGTGACAATGTGATATCATCAGGTGAAACCAACTATCAAATGAAAACAAACTTTGAAGATAGTTAGCTGTGCTAGAGTCCCATGTTTATGACTGAGCATTGTAATTTTCCTTAAAACCTGATTTCTCTCCCTAATATCACCCTCATTGCCATAAAAAAGACTGACAGTTTTCAAGGTTGCCTCATTGTTAGTGTAAAAACAATAAGAACAGCAATTGGTCATATAGACTGCTCAAATCTGTTTTGCTGGAATTTATACAAGGAACCTTAGATGGACCCTTAGTCAACCCTTCAGTACACAAAAGCGAAACCCCACTCCTACCATCCAGTTCTGCCTGCAGTACCTCTAGTTCTCAAGTCCTCGAGGTTCCCATCATTTCTTAAGTTTCCTCCTTTCTGTCTTTTAGGAAAGCTACCTTCATTTCTTTCCTAGAAAGACTGCCATGAACCAAACAATGTACCAGGCCATTTCTCCAGTGGGCTTGTATTGTCTTCCAAAGTCAATCTTAGTTCCTCAAGGCTTTTTGGTAATGACCAGAACACAGGCATGAGATTCCAGTCATAGTTTTGGTCAATAAAACTATAATTTGAAACCAGTCTTACTGCTTTCATGCAAAAGAAATTTTGTCATTACTCATTCATGGTGAATGCCAAATTCTAGAGGGATCAGGTAGGGAGAAAAATATGAAACAAAAAGGAAATTCTTGTCCTTCCAATATCCACCAAAATTGTATTTCCATGCTTTGTATCTTTCATTATGTTATGTACTCACCTAATGTGAAGTCTTAACCTTTAGGAACTTCAGTTTATTTTAAAAACAGAAACAAAGTAAAAATATAAAGCAAATACAGAGTTCAAAAAAATAGAAAATGGGGGACTAGATCTAGTGATGTCCCTGCTCTTCCTCCAAGATGCCCTCCTGAGTTACTATTCCAGCAAAGTAGAGAAGTACTGTTTGGAGAATAACATACTTTTCAAGATTTTGATCATTGTTGGTAATGCTCCAGACATCCTCCTTTTATTGGTGGTCTTCACCCCACTATAGAAGTAGTGTTTCTCCCTATAAACACCACCTCTTTTTTCCAGCCAGTGGATCAAAGAGTTATAGCAGGTTTTAAGGCCTATCTGAGGAAGACCTTTGCCCAGGCTGCAACTGAGGAAGAAACTGAGAAGTCAATGATGCACTCCTGGAAGGATTACCACATCTATGACTACATTAAGAACTTTACCTTGAGCTGAGATGATGTCACCAGGGAGTGTGTGAATGGCATGTGGAAGAAGACACTCAAAAGGTTTGTCCATGACTTAAAAGGATTTGCCAAGGATGAGGTGATTTCAAAAGTCAACAAAGCTGTGGTTGAGATGGCAAACAAATCTAACATGTGTGTGAATGAGGATGACATCGATGAACTCTTAAAGGTGGTTCCAGAGGAATTGACTAATAAAGAGTTATTGAAACTGGAACAGGAATATATAGCTGAAAAAAGAGGTGAGAAAAAAGTTAAACTGCTGGAGAAAGAAAAAAAAACCATTAAAACTCATGGTGAAAGGTTTAGCACAAGCTTTTTCTGATTTCAACAACCTCCTTAAAAACTTAAAAATATGGACCCAACACCAAAAGATTTCATTAATAGAGAGAAATGTTCAAGGTGCATTATCTACTTATAGTTTATGATTTCTTAAAACAAGAAACAAACCAAGCAAACCACCACCCACATATTTCTGAAAAGAATGAGACTTTATCAGCAAGACCCTCAGGAAGGTCTTTCAGAGGTGTTCCAGAAGAAGGCACTGTTATCATAAGAGGTGATAACTCACATGATTACCCCTGAAAACCTCCTGGTGGAACAAAATGTGGAAGTGGAAGACAGTTTTACTGTTAATCCTGACCCTGTGTAGACCTAGGCTGATGTATGTGTTCGTGTCTTGGGGTTTTTTATTTTAATTGTAGTTTAAATAGTTTTCTGCCTTTTACCCCTCCCTCCCTCATGTTTCCATCCCCCTCGTTATTGTCCATGTGACCTTTGTACTTGTTCCTGCAAACCATTCACCCTTTTCCTCTGAAATTCCCTCCCCTCTCCCCTCTGGTCACTGTTAACCTGTTCTCAATTTCAGTGTCTTTGGTTATACTTGGCTTGTTTGCTTGTTTTGTTGATTAGGTTCCTGTTAAAGGTGAAATTATATGGTTTTTGTCTTTCACTGCCTGGCTTATTTTGCTTCATAATGCTTTCCAGTTCCATCCATGATGTTGCAAAGGGTAGGAACTCCTTCTTTCTTTCTGCTACATAAAATTCCATTGAGTAAATATACCATAGTATTTGGATCCATTAATTTACTGATGGGCACCTAGGTTGCTTCCAGCACTTGGTTATTGTAAGTTGTGTTGCTATGAATATTGGAGTGCATACATTCTTTTAGACTGGTGTTTCAGGGTTCTTAGGATATAATCCTAGCAGTGAAATTTGTTGGGTCAAAAGGCAGATCCATTATTAGTTTTTAAAGAAACTTCCATACAGTTTTCCATAGTGGTTGTACCAATCTGCAATCCCACCAACAGTGCACTAGGGTTCCTTTTTCTCCACAACCTCTCCAACACTTGTTTGTGTTTGGTTATGATGGTCATTCTGACAAGTGTGAAGTGGTATCTCATTGTGATGTTAATTTGCATCTCTCTGATAGCTAGATATACTGAGCATCTTTTCATATGTCTCTGGACCCTCTGTATGTCCTCTTTGTAGAAGTGTCTGTTCAAATCCTTTACCATGTTTTCACTGGGTTGCTTGTCTTCTTACAGTAGAGTTATACAAGTTCTGTATATGTATATATTTTGAAGCTCAAACCCTTGTCTGAGGTATCATTGGAAAATATGTTTTTCCATATGGCTGGTTTTCTTTTTATTTTAATACTGTTTTCTTTAGCCATGCAGAAGCTTTTTGTTTTGATTAGATCCCATTTGTTTATTCTTTTCTTTATGTCCCTTGCTCTAGGGGATGTATCAGTGAAAATATTGCTGCCTGAAATATCTGAGATTTTTCTGCCTATGTTTTCCTTTAGGACTTTAATGGTGTCATGACTTATATTTAAATCTGTTATCCACCTTGAACTTATTTTTGTGTATGGTGTAATTTTGTGCCCAAATTTCATTTTTTTGCATGTAGCTGTCCAGCTCTCCCAACACCATTTGTTGAAAAGGCTATTTTTACACCATTTTATGTGGCTGCCCCCTTTTTCAAATATTAATTGACTCTAGAGACTTGGGTTTATTTCTGGGTTCTCTGTTCTGTTCCAT